AGAATGAATACTTTGGGGGAAAATTGATATAGATTTTTATCATCTTTAATTTCCAAAACGCCTAACACGTACGGACACAAATTTTGGAATTATGAAGATTTTATTTATTTCTTATAAATGTACATGAAAATATATTATAGTTAATAAGTAAGTATTTGGTTGAAATTTTAATCCTAAGAGTATTTTCTTACCTCATATTAATCTTATATGATGTTACTAATAAGTTATTATTTGGTCTAATAAAAATTGATCAAGTGTGCTTTATAAAAAATTGGACTAGATAATTATAAAAAATAATTGTGTCACATTGATGTTGCTAATTTTATGATCAAGTTGTATTATGCGAATATTATGTAATATTAAGTTACCAGTCATGAAATGACGAAATTTTGTTGTTATAATTAATTGTGCTGAGAGAACTGATTTATCTTCAAACAAAAACCTTCCCACAGAATAAGACTTACAGAGTATTGTAATTATTATTTCATTACGAATTTTCTAATTGCAATTTCAGTTCATTGAGGGTATCGCACACAATTAAACCATCTAAACTTTCTGAATAGTCCAAACTATTGTTTTAAAATAACTTGAATCTAATTTTCATTAATGACGGTCATTTTACTTCAGCTTTAATGAGTTTAAAGTTTTCAGTATATTGTTTCCTTACTGGATCGAACGTCCAAACACGATAAAACCAAATTAGAATTAAAATTATGAAATAGAATTTGTATTTATAATAAAATAATACGTTAAAACAATTGTTGATTATGTCCACTCAACAGTCCCTTGTGTGTTTAGTCTAAATTATGCCATATTTACGGTTTATTAAAAATAAAAGTCTTTCAATCCTCTTATTAATGTATAAAAACTTTGCAGAAACAAATGACTATTTCATTATATTGTATTAGAGACGTCGAAGCAAATGTATTTATTTTTAATTTTCACCTTGGAGTTTAATTATAACCAAAAAAAAAAAAAAGAAACTTGTAGTGTGACAATATTTTTTCCTCGTTTATTTTATATTTTTTTAAAGGTATTTAATATATTTTCATAAAGACCTTCACTATAAATACGCAAGAATACCTTGGCTATGATAAAGAATTTTAAAATAAGCATTTTTCTTTGCTTTTACTTTACTCTTAAATCATTTTCCCTCGGAAACAGATAGTGGTTTTCTCTTTAATTAAAATCTTGCTTTTCATATAGGAATTTAGTCTTTCTTTTTTTTTATGAAAGACAACTAGGAGCACCAAAGTAAACAGTTTTCAAGGGAGTAATCTTAATTTGAGCCAAACAAACTAGCTTTATAAAAGCTTAGTCTATAGAGATATTACCAGTCCGAAAAGTTAATTCAGTTTTATTGTGTATGAATGATCAATTTGATGATACAATTTTATTTTTATGTTTCAGGATATTTTCGAAAAATGAAAAAAACGTACTTGAATAAATAGAAAAAGCTGTAGAGACGTTTCCAAGGTAATTTTTCCAAGATACAAATTAAATAATTTTAGCAAGTACCATTCTAGTATAAAATTTGGCCGACGCTATTTGATTGACTTTTTAATGTAATTTTATTTTTTTATAATATAATAGTAATAGGGTTGATGTTAATAGTTGGTTAATATTTGTTAGTATTGTTTAATTTTGATAAATAATCACGCGTAGTTGGTAAGTAAATAACTTGCATATTTAAGGCCACATATTTTAAGAAAATATTTTCCAACCAAATAACTTTGGTGTAACAGTTTCGTATTTAGTTTTCTTGTAGAATTACTAAAATAATATAGAAACTTAAAAGTACAATTTAGTTAAAATTACATGTACACAAGAGAAAATCGTTTCGCTTTTCTCCTCGGGGTTTCATTTGGCCGAGGAGTAAGATACAGAGCTAATCCCAAGGTTCATCGGCAACAGTAGTAATTTAATTTGAAACCAATCGGTGGACGTTACTAGCCCCAGGCTTTCTCACTAAACGCAGTAATTTTGTTCTTAGTTAATGTTACCTGTTTACTTTTATAGTTTATGTCTGTGCGTTTTTCTTTGACATTTTTTTACTACCACTGATCACGAAACTATTATTAACGTAGGTCGTTCAAAAACCTCTTTAACTCAATATAACCCCTATAAAAAAAAGTAATATATGGTTTCTAATTTCGGATGCCATTACAATAACTAAAATTCAATGTTCTCCGCTCTCTCTCTGCTGCTTATAAGCGGTTTTGACGAATAAAACTCAAGAAAGCAATCCGAGTCGATAAGTGCATCCAAGTAAGTAGAATTTTGCCACGCGTACAAATCTTTGCGAAGTTTGTTTTACCTTAAGGTGTATGTGGTCTACTGTGTATGGAATATTGAACACGAGAACAAGAATAGGACCACAATATATGTAATAATAATGGTCTGCTATAAAGATAGTACAATTTATAAATGACGCGTTCAAAATATTTACAGAGTATGTGGTACGAGTCGTTTTACTTATTGCAACCCAAACAAACGTCACGTTCATACAAACCGAAAATCTCCGTGTAGTTCCGTATAGCTACTGTGTTTTTGTATCTAATAAACTATGTTAATACAAACATAGTATAATTTTTTGCAATATCATCACTAGCGCGGTAGTGAAGTTGTTAACTATAACCTAACATTATACTGGTCATCAAGAAAATCATTACAATATACCGAGTACCGGGTATTACTTTGTTTATGACAAATCGAACCTCTTACGTTTTACGCATTTTTCACATTTAGTATTCATCAAAGTCTAACCTATTGACCCTTATGAGAGATGTATAACCATTTGACATTTTGCATCAAAAAATACGTGATTACTTGTGTGAAGGTCCGGCTAAATATGTTATGCAACTTGTACTTTACTGTATATAATTACAAAGCAATAAGCGTTTTGATGCGCCTGCAACTTCTTCTTAAACAATCAGAATCACTAAAAACATTCCGGTAGTTTAAGCACACAGATTACGAAATATTCATTTAGTTAAATAAATGTAATTTTTTTTAGTCAGTGCCCTATTAGCAATAGGACGGATCAAGGCGGATGAATGATCGTTAATAATAACCATCTGGTATAAAAAAACATCACGTAATAAATTCTTAAACTCGTAGTTGGTGTTTTGTCATCCATTAAGTTCTAATAGAAAAAACCGTAATTAATACGCAGTCCTTTCACTTTCAAGCAATTGAACAAAATTCATTTTTATATTGATTAGTTTATCAAATCTAAATGTTGTAACGTACACGGTTAACACGATTTAATTGTTAATACTTACGTGTTTTTTTATATATGATAGGAAACATTTTTACTTTATTCAATTGTTAGGTGTGTAAGAACTAAAACTTTGCCGTGCTCGTTTTTTGATTACTACAATTACTTTTATATTAAAAACAGTCGGTATTTGAGCTTAACTATTAAGTTTATTAATGTTATTCTCTTACTCATCTCAGTGACTATCTGGTTCAAAAATAATTAAAACAATTAATTACTTGTCGATGTTTTATTTTAAAACTTAATTAAAACCAATACTTTTTCTAAATAATGGATCTTATAAATGAAGGGGATAATATAAATGGAGCTTAAGTTTTAAGAATAACGTTAACTTATAATTACCAAATTGTAAAATTAAATCGGCGTCGATCCTCTAACATAGTTTATTGAACTGGCGTCATTAAGAAAAACAAGCCCTTTCTTAGAAGTTAATTATTTTTAAATCGATAGTTGTTTTTTATTTTTATTAAAATTAGTTGAGCAAAACTGTAAATAAATGAAACTGTTTGCAATGTGTTGCAGATTTTTAGTCATCGAATATTCCAACTTTCAAAAAACCTCATTTTCACATTCTTTTGGAGTTCACTTACTTTTTATCATTGTACTGTGTTTAAAATTACATAATTTAGACATTTTTTTGTATAGGTACAATTCTGCTGAATAAATCTAATGCATATTCATTTAGAACCAAACCGGATGGATTGAATTTTCAATAATTATTTCAAATAATNTTAGAACCAAACCAGATGGATTTTATTTCAAATATTTTTTAATCTTATCTTATCAATTGGTTACACGGATTAACAATTTACCACAAAATGTCGGTCGATTAAGCATTTATCATACGAGTAAAATACTGAATATTCAATTAATAAAAGTACAACAAATAAATTTCGCGTGTTGGTCAAACACACAGTGTGTCGTGGGAAACATTAAAATGTATATTTCTGTTATGTATTCGTCATAAAATTGAATTCAGTTATAATTTCATGTTTTAATTTGACCACTAAGTAGTTGCTTGTTCATTATTAATATTGAAAATGTTAACATTCGTCAGTAATAAATATTGTTGCGTCTGGTTCAATATGTATAATAAATAAATTGATAATTACGAATGTTTATTAATTGTGGACTGTATCTTTTTATTAAATATTTTATTGTAAGCTGGCGATTTGTCCGCGCGCGTACGTATATCGAGCATAACTGGTCTTATATTGGTCGGCGACCATCATTATTATTGGTATCGCTTAATCGCGTGATAACGAGCGCGAACACACCGCCTACCTTGAAATAACACATTTCAATAGAATCAATATAAAGTACATATAAATAATAAGATTATGACAAACAATTGACCCACATTCATGGCCAAAAATATAAACAATAATTCTGTAAAACATTCTCAGATAAATAACAAATAATTAGAACTTAGAACTAACATATCATGCTTTAAATAAATTACAAATAATTAAATTAATATATAAATAAATAATAAAAATTAAGGTAACTAAATTTAGCAACAAACATTAGCTTCAGGACACTTTAACAATGAACATATTTTATAATAGAGATACAAATAATATATAATACATTACATACATAAAAATAAAAAACAACAAGAATTTATATCACAATATTTAGACTAGATATTATTATTATCTTTTTTTTTCAAATCATAAGCATTTTAACATAATTTACTAAACATACATTTTAAACATTTTTAATTATTTGAACTTGCTGTACAATTTCCCTCGAAAGGTAATGGACATAATTGACGAACAGCTCGTTTATATACACCGGTTGCTGTACGGATAGTAGCCACTCGTACGACGCCATCAGAACCACTATGAACTTCCATTATTCTTCCAATTGACCATTTTAAAGGGGGCAAGTTTTCATCACGCATGAGAACTACAGTGTTTTTCTTCAAACCAGGACCATTTGATTGTGACCATTTTTTTCGCTCTTGTAACTGATTGAGATACTCGTTCTTCCATCTAATCCATATTTTTTGCGTAATTTGAACAACACGCCTCCAGCGAGTTAGTCTGTTCTCCATAATATTCGTTACGTCACGTTCAGGAAAAGCGGATAGCGAGTCACCTATCAAAAAATGACCAGGTGTTAAAACCGATAAGTCACTTGGATCCGTGGATAAAGGTGTCAACGGTCGCGAATTTAATATGGCTTCTACTCGAACAAGTATTGTATATAACTCTTCATAGTTAAACAGAGCATTACCAATCGATTTGAGCAAATGTGCCTTAACAGATTTAACAGACGCCTCCCACAATCCGCCAAAGTGAGGACTACGGGCCGGAATAAAATGCCATTGAATTCCTTTATTACTTAATTCATTTTTAACTTCTGGTTTAGCTAAAAGTTCATGCACTTCTCGAAGTTGTCGATTAACCGCAATAAAGTTTTTTCCGTTATCTGAATACACGTCCGTACAATAACCACGTCTATCACAGAATCTCCGTAACGCATTAAGGAAAGACTCCGCTGTCAAATCGCCTACTAATTCTATATGAATAGCTTTTGTGACAAGACAAACCCAGATACTGATATACGCTTTAGTCTTAGGCGCGTTTCTTCGCAAACTAGACCGCACAAACACTGGACCAGCAAAATCTACGCCACATTTAACAAAAGCTCGCGCTGGTTCGACTCGGTCCTTAGGTAAGTCACCCATGATGGGCTCAAATACAACCGGTTTGTATTTGAAACATTTGACACATTTTCTAGATATATTTCTGGCTATATTACGTCCATTAATCGGCCAATATCTCAAACGTATATTAGCTAACATCGCTTGTGGACCGGCGTGTAATGATTTTTCGTGTTCATCCAGAAATAATAATTTTGTAAAAGCACTATCAGCGGGTAACACTATCGGATGTTTTTGAAAAAATGATAGTGAGACGGCATGTTTTAATCTACCGCCTACCCTGATTATACCATCGTCGTCTAGAAATGGTCTAAGACGAAAAAGTTTACTTTTACTGGACACTAATTTTGAGTTTTTTAAGTCACACAACTCAGTAAAAAATTCTTCTTGTTGCGCTACCTTCACTAATCGTTTAAGGGCATTTTCAATTTCTGTAGCTTCAACAGGACCATAAATATTAGTGTCACTCGATAAAAAATTAGACTTCACGCGAAGACAATAAGCCACAACACGTAAAAGTTTACTTAATGAAGAAAATAATTTAAAAATTTGATTAAAAGAATTATTTTCCGTTGTTAAGAATAAATTAGTAATTACTTTTTCTTCAGACAAATATTCACTTTTAGAAGTAAGTTCTTGAAAGTTACTTGGCCATTGAGTATGTTCCCCTTTCAACCAACTAGGTCCGTTCCACCATAAATCTAAACCTTTCATTTGTGATGGAAAACAGCCTCTTGACACTATGTCCGCTGGATTGTCGCTGGACGCAACATGCCTCCATTGTGAAACAGACGTTAACTCTTGTATTTCACTTACTCTGTTTCCCACAAAAGTTTTCCAACGAGACGACGGAGATAATAACCAATTTAATACCAGTGTCGAATCTGTCCAATAAAAATATTCATTTATAGGTAACTGTAATTTTGGTGCATATTTATATTATAAGGTGCATATTATAAGGCGAGCGGCCAAAAGCGCAGCTAACAGTTCGAGCCGAGGTAACGAAACTACCTTTAATGGCGCGACTCTTGATTTTGCACACAATAAATTTATTACTACTTTACCATAAATGTCTGTAGCGCGTGTGTATATACAAGCACCATAGGCTTGCATACTTGCGTCAGCGAACGCGTGTAATTCTAGTTTTTTAATTTTTTCGATGCCGAGAACTAGACGATTTATTTTAATATTATTAATTTGCTCCAGTTCCACACGCATTTTTGACCAATCTTGTTGTAATGGAATAGATAAAACGTCATCCCAGTTTATTTTTTGCAACCATAACTGTTGCATAATCATCTTAAACCTAATTATTACTGGAGCGATTAATCCAAGTGGATCGAATAGCGACGATATTTCGGATAGAACTAATCTTTTTGTAAATCGACCAGATACTTTTATTGGTTTTATATTGTATTGATAGCAATCGTTCTCGTGATTCCAATATAATCCAAGGATTTTAGTAATATTTTTATTAGGCTTTTTTACATCGTCATCAACTTTCCTTAAATATAAAGGTAATTCTCTTAACAATAGTGGTTCATTGCTACACCATTGTCTCAACTTGAAACCAGCACTCTCCATGATTGATATTAAATCATCTCTTAACTTGACCGCCTTTTCTAAAGTATCTGAACCACTTAGGAGGTCATCCATATAAAAATCTTCATTTAACGCTCTACAAGCTTCCGGATAATGATCAGCTTTTTCTTCGGCTAGTTTTCTAAGACACCCGGTTGCTAAGTATGAGGAAGTCACAACTCCGTATGTGACTGTTTTTAATCTAAATACTTGTACAGGTTGTTCAGGATTTTCACGCCATAAAATTCGTTGGAAATCTCTTTGATTCTCAGAGACCCAGATTTGCCTATACATTTTTTCAATGTCCGAACAAAAAACATATTTATGCGTTCGAAATCTAATCATTATTTCGGTGAGTTCTTCTTGTATACACGGACCCTTAAATAAAACGTCATTAAGACTTACACCGTTGTCGGTTTTACAAGAAGCGTCAAATACAACTCGTAGTTTAGTTGTATGGCTACTCTCTTTATAAATTGCATGATGCGGTATATAATATGTGTTTTTAGTACTTTCGTCTCTCAAAACTCTTTCCGTGTGATTTAGTTCTAGATATTCATTTATAAATTTAGAATAAAGATTTTTGAGTTCAATATTAGTCTGCAGTCGCCGTTCTAATGATAAAAACCGTTTTAAAGCTATTTGATACGATTCACCTAGTAGGGAATGATCCTTGAACGGCAATGATACAACAAATCGTCCGTTTTCATTCCGTTTGGTATTATTTTCAAAATGCAACTGGCACGCTTTTTCATCTAAACTTAAAACGTTTTTAGTTTTGACCTCTTCTAATTGCCAAAATTTCGCTATCTGGTCATCTAAATTAATTCGGGCGTTTATATCATTTTCAACTACATCTTGTTGGTGTGGTAATACAGTAGTTGCGAACATAGATGTAGTGAAGCTTGCTGAGATAGGACCGGACACGATCCAACCGAACTCAGTCTTTTGTATAACGGGACCATTTTCAACCGTCTTTATTTGATCGGAATACATTAAGTCAAAGAAAATTTCAGCTCCAATCAGCATATCTATTCTTTGTGGTGTGCCGAACAGCGGATCGGCCAAAATAATATCTGACGGTATTTTTAACTCCCTCGCATCAATACCCGATTGTGGTAAGAGACTGGTCAGCTTGGGAAGTGTTAAAAAATTCAAGTTTGTTTTAAAATCTGACACGCGAGATTTAATAATCGCTGATACCTGGTGTTTAACATTATTCGGTGATTCGTTTATTCCAAAAACAGAATACGCTACATTTTTTCTTTTCAATTTCAAATAATGGGCCATTGACTCGGTGATAAAATTGTTTTGTGAGCCGGAGTCTAGCAATACTCGGCACACTACCGGTTCATTTTTATTATTATACGCATGTACTACGGCAGTAGCTAGCAGTACTGACCTGCGGCTACTGTTGTAATTGCCTTGATAAGTGTGCGCGTTTGTTAATATCGGCTGTTGTAGCGTTGTATTATCTGGCACTTTATTGTCAATAATACTTTCTACGTTATCTGAGTTGCCCACATTATCTGTCTTCGAATTTACGTGCAATAAACTATTATGACCGCGTCCACATTTAGCGCAACGACGGGCCTTACATATTTGTTCATCTGCATGTGCTCTTAAACAAATAATACAATGGTTTAATTGCTTAATTTTATTGATACGTTCATTTACCGTAAGTTTTAAAAACGACGGACAACGATAAATAGTGTGCGATTGTTTACAATAATAACAAGTAACGCTACCGCCACTTGTAAACAATACATTTATTTTACGATCACTTCTTTTTTGAATAAAATTTTTCTTGCTGAAGCTGCGTATATTATTATTAGATTGTAATTTGCTAGACGATTCAATAGCTTCTAGCATTCTAAAACGCGATTCTAAAAACACAATAATATTTTTTAATGTTGCTACCTCTGACCTTGGTGATTCGATTTCCCAGCTACGCAAACTTTGTACGTCCAATTTAGATGTAATTAAATGTATAATTAGTGACCCCCACAAGTCGGGCATTTGACCAAGATTCTCTAGAGCTTTAATATGACCCACTAACGTATCATGAAAACGTCGAGTTTCTTCAGCACTTTCTTGGTATATTGGACTTAAATCGAAAAGCGACTTAGTATGCACTTGAACTAACAACTTAGTATTACTATAACGCTCTTTTAGAGTTTGCCAGGCGATTGTATAATTGTCAGAAGTGGTAGGTAAACACTGTATTACCTTAGCAGCTTCTCCGCTTAATGAAGATCGTAAATAAAAAAACCTTTGCATATTATTGAGATTGTTATTCTCGTTGATCGCTGTGGAAAACATATCATAATACGATTGCCACTCAGAATAATCTCCTGAAAATTTAGGTAGATCGATTGGTGGTAATTTGATTATAGAAGAACCGAATTGACTATTTATAGTATTGGGTTTAGTAGGAATAGATTGAATATTTTGAACGGAACTATCATTAATGCTGATATGATCAGATGAACATAGTTTCTTTATAAGTTTATCGCATTCGGCTAAGACTCCAAAATAAATATTCTCCATCTCCTCTCTATACCTTTCCGTTTCTTCCGTAATTCCCGTAAGTTCTTCTATTTCTGCTTGTACCGATTCATAATCTTGCCACACCTCCAATATTTTATCTCGTCGTAGTATGATTTGACTGGTGTCAATATTTTCTTCTCCACTCTTTCTCTCAACAAATAATACAAATCGTGATAGTTGGCCTTTGAACTGACCACGACGAATGCTTAACTGGACTTGCTCTGCCATAACGTTGATATCTATTCAGATAGTCAATTGTATTACGCGATTACAATAGCGCTCTATTGCATTAAATTCCGAGTGTACTATATAGGGTTTGGAATAAAACCAATGATGTTCCTATTATAACACACGTTACTCGAGTTATGGGCGTTTTTACCGTATCACCAAAAATAGAACGAGATGAGAAATAGAACTAGCGAGTCTATTCATTTACGAATCTCGAACTAATTGCGAATGGCGAACTATACGATAAATAAAGTAATAAAAAATACGAAACGCACTTAAGACGGTACACTAACGCACTTAATTAAAAAACGTACGACGACGAGCACGGCGATGACAAACTTACAAAATCAAATTATATATTAATTTATTAATGCGGCACGATGGACCAATGTTGCGTCTGGTTCAATATGTATAATAAATAAATTGATAATTACGAATGTTTATTAATTGTGGACTGTATCTTTTTATTAAATATTTTATTGTAAGCTGGCGATTTGTCCGCGCGCGTACGTATATCGAGCATAACTGGTCTTATATTGGTCGGCGACCATCATTATTATCGCTTAATCGCGTGATAACGAGCGCGAACAAATAGTTTTATGTAACTTAATATTACTTTTATCAACCATATCATGTATGAATATACATGTAAATGATAAATAATGGTATTTATAATTACTACATTGATGGTAATTTNGTATTTATAATTACTACATTGATGATAATTTTTTTTTTTAAGTATATAAAAGTTTAGGGGCAATAGAAAAAAGTGTAATACTCATTACTATGTTATAACAAAATGCAGTAAGTTCATATAATTTAAAGGTAAGGTGAAAAATGTTATTTTGGTCGTTTTTTAAAACAACAACCCTTGTTATTTACACGCGACCAGTGCCAGAGATATTACAGCGACCGTTTTCTTTATAATGTATATGAATGTTTGTGTGTGTGTTGATAAACAAGTAGGCAGGCAGACGTGGGGGGGTGTTGGCCGATGCACAAGCTCGAAGACCAGCGGAGCCTATACCGCTTTTTCCGGTTGGAGGATTTCACCAAGAAAACTCTGCAGGACGCGTAGCCTTGTGCATGAATAGTATACACAAGACCACATCAGTAAGTTGCTGCTTTTCCGTATTACTTCCTGTCGCATTTTACTGCTTTGGATGTGAGGGAGACGGAAGACCTCGTGGGAAATACACAAATCATCCGAAATTCAATGGGGACGCCCTCAAGCGAAAATAATTACAACTGGCGAAATTCGGCGAATTTATTTACCTTGGCACGAGCACAAAATACACTGTTACAATAACAATAATTACAATATAATTACATAAAAAACACGATCGAATATACGCATAATATTAATGAAAGACCCAATGAGAATTAGCGGTACTGATCAAATACAAAGGGATTTCAAAGTTTTGATAATACGATAACCAAAGGTACTGGCTTTTATTTTTTCCATTTATCTCGGGACAACGTGTCATTTGATAGTTATTTAATTTAGTTTAATTATTTTCTCGGTTGAAATTTCAGCCTTAACGGTAAATTATTTATCGCGGAGAAAAGTTACTCGTGGCTGGAGTATCTGCTTGGTACACCAGAAAGTATCCTTTGTCATGATCAACGACTGTACCCAGTTTAACGAAAATGTTTATTCAAATCGACTTCACGGTAGTAATATGAATCCGAAAGTTTATTTAAGAAAATTTAAAGGCATTTTTCAAGTGTATTTTATAGTAATAAAGTTTGGAACATAAAAACAAAAACTAAACACAATATATCAATAGCAAAAGACATAAAATAGTAATATATTTTTTCTTCGTGTATTTTATCAAAAACTTTTTATCGAGTATAATTTTTTGGTCACCTCCATAAAAATATTATGCTTACCAGTTAGAAGAGATAATGTAGTGTATTATGAGATGGTGTTCTGAAAATAAAAGTCATATATTATATCAACGTGCTGGTCGTAATTTCATAGTCGAAAACATTTTCCCATTTAACACAATATGGGTACGGTCGTATGAAAAAGTAACGATCTGAGACAATATCTGATATTATTTTACACACACACGTGATACGAAAAGTNTTTACACACACACACGTGATACGAAAACTTTTGTATCTTTTATTAGCATTTGCACTCTTCAGTACATTTTACACGTGTACATTTCCAGTTCATCGCATAATATATCATATTACGTTGTAATCCAGCTAGTTAATGGTTTTTAATGTTCTCATAATACAGCCGTAGGTGTTGTTTATTCATCTTACCTTATCGCACACGGCCACTATCTCGTGCGAGGACTATCAGAAAAACGTCACTTTCAGTAGGAAAACCCGTTGAATTCTCCGTGATCTAACTTTCCCTGTTTCGACAATAATAAGCGAGTAGTTTGAAAAACTTTGAAATCTTTAAAAAACATTTCACTGAAGTTTGTTATCGATAAGAAAATCGTAAATTTCCAATGAAAATATTATCTTTGACAACGATTTCCGAACACTATTTGAATTTAGATATAAATCTTCATATTTGATCCGAGTAAAACTTTGTCACAACCCTCATACAATAATTAAAAAGTAATTTATTTTTTCAATAAAATAAAGTTTTGTACTCATTAATAATATTGTATAGATATTGAAAGGATAAATATTTTTTTATGATATAATGTTTCTTTTTGCGTAACCGTGCTACGACATTTGTGCTTTAAATTATAAATTATGGCAAGTTAATAATTAAAATTTTTTTTTTCACATTTTAATGGCATTTTAACGAAATTGTCACAGTGGTTAGCCTATAAAATATGCTTGATATTTTGCGAAATAGGTCATTTAAAGTCGAGTTCAATTTTGTTGGAAAATTTTTTATTTGAACCTTGTTTTTAATTAAAATTATTACAGTGTTCTTTGTTTCAAAGAAAATTAATTTTGGTAATGGAAAACGATAATAACAATATGGTTCAGTAAAAATAAAAATCGAATTTAATGAGTTTAAGCCAATAAATATTTTAATGTATTTTTATCATCAACTAAAAATACTCTATTTGAAAATTATTTTCTCTCGATTTATGTGGTCAGCGTGTTCTTTTAGACACAAGTCCTGAGAAAGTTGTTATTAAATAATATTTCTTCGATAATTCCATTTGCGCAGTATATTGGCTGCCAGTGTATACAACACGTATATAGTGTGTATAGCAGACACTGTACAACGCTATTTTGCCATAGTTGTTGTGCCCCAGAAAATGATTTATGGCCATTTATAGCTTTTGTACGAAACAGTGATTTATTTTGACTGTATAGTACAGTCAGCAGTAGTCAATAGCGGCCGCGCTCTGGCGAGCATGAACTAGAGTGGTGCTGTTAGTAGTGGACGACGGAAGGGACGTGATTGATGAGATCATATGGCCATCGACAAAGTATTAACAATATTCTCTTGTATAACATTCGATTGCGAATCCATCGTGTCAAGTGTTAACGTTTACCCAAAATAATGACAATCGGCGACTAAAGATTGAGAAACGGTTATTTATTAACTTTACTCTGTTTATTAACTGAGAACCGAAAATCATGTATACATCAACCACTTAATAGAAAGGAAATAACATTGTTCTTTATGGTTTAAAATGTTAACTCGATTATCTCATAACTTGTCAGTATTTAGGAACTATAACAAGCCGACATCCTAAATAGTTTTGAATTGTATAAAAAAATGGTTTTATAAACGCACACTCGAATATAAAATGGGCTACGAACGAATATTATCTGACGATGACATTTGTGATTATTATTAGTTTTTTTTTTTTTTTTAAGTAAATTATAATATTCACAATTAATATAATTTTGTTATACGCAGAAGAAAAAAGATTAAGTGCTACTATTAAAAGAATTACACATATTTTTAAGGTCAAGTGATATGATACGTTATACCTGAACTTATACGGAGGAGAATCTGTTTCGAAGTTCCAACACGTTTATAAGAAGATACTTTTACTTTACTATAAAACTAAATCAGTTTTATTGTGCCTACCAGCTTGAAGTACAATTCGCATAATTATCACTCGCATAAAACAACTGTTTAATTAAGTATTTTACGCGAACGAATTTTTATGGCACCGATGGTCGTGATAACGATCCTGCCGTAACTATTAGCACAAAGTTGACAAAAAAGGGAATTAACAGTTGTATGAAATATATATTTTACTATAATCGTATGAACCATATTTTGTTATTCAAAGAGAGCTGTATTTGTGAAACAACATTTTTTTTTTTTGCAAACTGTTTATTAAAATCATAACTGCTGGATTACTCTTTATTTTTTGTACGAAAATGAATATTAAGCGTAATTAACCGTTGTCTTTGTACTTTTTGAAGTAAGTGAACAGTTGTTTTTTCAGTACGCTTATGGCGATTCCATAAAGTTTAATTATAACATTATTATTAACGGAGAATCGCAAAAATGTATCATTAACCATTTTAAAAATGTGTAAAAAGTTACAAAAGACACAAGTGATTCACGTCGGAGTGTATTTGATTGTTTTACAACAATATTTCACCACCGGCAATCACTTGCGCGCGATTTAACAGTTTAATTAAAACCGTTTTATNTTTTACAACAATATTTCACCACCGGCAATCACTTGCGCGCGATTTAACAGTTTAATTAAAACCGTTTTATAAGAATTATTAACAACTTCCGAGCAACTAATTGCGAATGAGCGGTGCCGGACGAATGGGCCTGGAGAAGATTATGAATTAGTGGTCCGTAACGAATTGTCCATGCCGCAGACGAGAGAATATTACAGTGCTGTCTGCGGTTTATCCGCTGTGTTTGATGGTATTGATGTAGCTGAACACGATTTGTCAGTGGTGCACATCCAGAGAGTAGCTATTTGTTGGATTTACGAACGCTTTTAAAACCGAATTACAATGGCCGTCTCGGCGGTACCTCACACGGGAGAACCCCCGGGGCACAAACTTCCAAGTCAAAATCGGATTATAAACAGAAATCATAAACGCAATAACACACTGCGAGGTGGTTGTTATTACGATTATAATAATATTACTACGGAGCGGAGAATTGTGTTGTTTGAAGTATTGCCGTGTTACCGAGACCTTATGGAACACAACACGAGTTCTCATTGTTAATCCGTCCGACGTCAGCTACTCGCCGCCATGCAAATCACACCGTGTGGAAATCGAGCTCGAGTGTAAAATATTAACACATCGTTTAGCGACTTTTATTTTGGCCAAATATTAATTTCCTCGTGTTTCTCAATTTATGACGGGCACACGCACGCACTGCGCCGTTTATGTACTAATGGGGCTGGGTTATTAATTATTATAAAACGCCAACTTGTGTACGCCGTCAAAAACACACCAGTTAAATTGCGTTTTGCGCGTTCTGCTGTGTACTTGTTATAACGATTTTTCGTCGGATGCTTATTGCGCCAACATCGTCTTGTTACATTTGTTGTACGGCGGCAACGCGGTGTTTAATTAAATAATATCTCCTGCCGCGTGTCACAGCCAATGTAACCGCAATTCACACGTGACCAGAAACAATGCCATTCGGTAGTTGGCCGAGATAAACGGCTGCTGGGGAGAGGCAGTGATACGATAAACCGCTGCAATGACAGCCGCGCGAGTTGGTGGCTAAGTTTCGACTTGACTTTTATTTTTTGTCGCCCCGGAATAATCATAACTTTTAAGACTTAATGGGCCGAATTGTGATAATATCTGAGCGGTGGCATCGTGTTATCGGACACATAACGGGCGGTCTAATAAAATTTTCTGCTTGTGAACGGTAAGTAAAAACGACCATTAGGAACACAAGTCTTATCACAATAATTCATAAGCACCTGGGCCAATGAGCAGCACGTTAAAAATGGACACCGAGGTCGTCGTACTTTTCAAGTTTGCGGAAACGGCGAAAAAGGATTCCCTTACACTTAACGATCGTAAATGTTCCGGCTTACCAAACTACTGTCGCCGAGTAAAAATTATGATAATTAAAAACATTTTAAACCGATTACGTATTATTTTAATCCTATTAAACAAAAGTAACGTCGAGTAAAAAAAATAACTTAATTATTTAGTCGCAGAAACAGCGGAGATTTCGATTCTTTCGCACATAAACCGCGTTTGCATTTAATCAAGTTTTGCTCACTGTGATATCGTACCACGTCCTTAATTAACATGACATACCGCGACTGGGTATGATCTACGGGTAAACATTCCTCTGTCGCAGACAGTCGGGGGCTCGTTGCAATGGCGGCGGCGGCGTTGGTCGTTCATGCGTGTGCGACAACCAACAAAAGATATCGTTACAGAATTATGACAATAACACTGGCAGAAATTTACGGGGCGCCCGCCGACGCAACCCGACGGTCAAGAAACAACGTCGGGACGTTATAACAATTTAGTTTGCGAGTGGCATCGGTTCGAGTACACAGAAACAACACCGTACTATAGACTGTAACCGTTGCACCGCGTTTACCGATTTTCGCTGACCAAGCTCATATATAAGTGACAAACAACTTACAGCGTTAAATTATAATAATATTATTACAACGTTACTCGGGTCCGTCCTTAACGGCGGTGATGCACGAGGCCCGTCCTCACCACGCCTCTGTATATATATCAGTGGCGATTACAATATTATACACACTTTGTTTTTTATGGTTAAGTCAATAATTTTCATCTGGTCCGTCCCTTGTCGCGGCCAACGTTATTACGATAATGACTCGGCGAAAGCCGGTCCGCTCAATGGAGTGCGTGTGAATTATTATAATGGGTCATTAGTGGCTTAGCGCGCGAATAACCGATTATCGCCAACGCCGTTAATGCGTCCCTCGCACATTGTCTCCTAAAAAGTAAACATTAGTAGTGCTAATGAAATCGTTTCACGTCGTGTTACGGGGTAGTTGTCGTTGCCTCTGACACTGGTAAAACGACAGTAATTATTAACGATGACGTGCCGTACGAATAATTTCGGGACTGGGTGCCTCTTTCGGGTCTCGGCGAAAGGGAACCGCTGCACCTCTTTTGCGCCGGAATAAAACAGCCGGCTTCCGGGTCGGTTGTGCGCCGTATAGCGTTGTTTCCGTTTTCGACCTTCTCCCGGATAGCTTTGTGCTCTGGCCGCCCGTCTAAATTGGATACTATCGCGTCGTTGGCAATTTATTCCGACGAGAACTCGGCAAAACAAAGACTACCCCCGACCGATTGTTTCACTGGCAATGATCTTGTCATTTCCGATGTAGCGCGTGCTCCTCTTTCGCACGTCAACACAATGTTTGCGGTGTAATTCAAAAGCGCGTCTGTACGAAACGCTCGTCTAACAAGACCGCGTTTGGCCTGCGGGTACGGTACACTGGAACCCAAACAAACTTCCTGTCCGATCAGTCCAATCCCAAACACACAATTGATACCGTCTTCAATTGTACTGCGAACGTGTGCGCATCAGATACGGCCATTGAATCTATTGTCGATTATACTCGACGGGCGCCGGACAGGAGGAACGCCCGTGACATTTGATCTCGGAGTGTGGTACTACTAATGCACCGGGCGAGTCTGTTATTAAACAATATTAACGTGTCAGCCATCACTGGAATAAGGCGAACGAGCCAATTATCGTCAGTAGCGTTCTAGAGAATTTACTGTGAAATATTTACAAAACTAACAGTTGACTGGGCAGACGTAAAGCGAATGTACAAATTGACCGCTGGAAGCAAAAGTCTATCCGTTTTTCATAAAATGTTCGCGTTTTCACTGATGTTGTTCGATTTATAATAATAACACCGAAAGACACTGTCGTCGTTTATTGATGTAATATACATATGATTTTGCTAGGAAGATTCAAGTAAATCCGATAAATTTATTATGATGCCCGTCGATGCTACAGAATAGAGTTAACGTAATCATTTTCTGGATCAAAGCAATACATTTTATATCGTTTCCTAACGGTTCTGACATTCTTTGGCAGTTTAGATTAATAATAATATATACTGAGTTTAAACAATATAACATTTTTATTTTCTTTGTACCGTACAATAACATTTTTGCGCTCGTCTACCATGTCGATTTGTTAGATGAATTTTTTTTTAGAAACCTTACAAAAAGCCGAAAATCCACTTTTATTTAGATGTTTATCGGGAAAAGTTTGTATATTTACCTAACTTTGGACTTGCTTTTGATAACTACTACGCGATATGTACTCATGCCTATGTTATTAAAAAAAGTGTTAGCTGTTGCACTGCTTATAATTACAACGTAACAAAAGAATTCCGTGTAAATTATTTGGATCATTGTAATATTTTCTTTTTCTGTAACTCTAACACGTTGTAGGAATAAATATTTTATTTCGAATAAAACTCGAGCAGGCCCGCGCTGACCGGACGTTCAAGTTGTTTAAAGAACAACAACACGAGGGCGGTCGAAAATGAGAGGTGACGTTGAGAAGTGTAATTGACATTTTAACCAAAATTGTGATGTGATGAGCTATGAAAAAAAAAAAATGCTCTCAAATACACTAAAATCGGTCAATTGAAGAATCAATTGCACCCAAAGAAAAACCTCAATCAATTTTGATAGAGAAATTTTATCAAGGGTTTATGATAATGTTTTATTAATACGAACAAAATAATTATTCTTATGAATAATTATTGTTCAAGACAAGAAAAAATATCATCATATTGATAAATATATCATAGATTCAATAGTAATGATATATTTATCAAATTGAACAATGAATTTATTATATAGATCGAGGTTTTTCTCTGGGTGTGGGTGGGGCCAATTTTCATTTTTACTTTTTGCACAAAATCGTCGAACGTGTTGAGCTGCACTCGAGTGCAGTTAGTATTGCATACAATTTTATGGTAGTTAACTTCGGTACAAGTGAAATTTGTATTTCTATATTTTTGCCGGTGTAGCTTTATGACACTACCCTAAATCTTTTTATGGAAAAAGAAATCAAAGAACGACAGGTCGATTTTAGGGGCTTTTGTTAATACCTTTTACACACGTGAAACACTCGTGCGTTTGCCTATAAATCACTTACGGACGACGACACGCGCTACGGAAGTTTTTATTTACCACCCTCCCCTTTCTTGCTGCCGATCAAGCCGAAATCGTTTTGCACTCGGCCTAGTTTTACCCGCTGACGCTTTAACCGAGACAACGTCATAGACGACTAGGAATACATAGCGCTCTATAAGTACTCCGGTCGGAGGTATTATAGCAGTTTAATATGACGTGGGCGATTTGGGGTAAAGTGGTCCACGTGAATTGTTTTTCGTCTACTAAACGACGAGCGTGTTAAATAAAGAGGCCTCCTAAGTACACGGCGTATAGAAAAACCCTTTTCCTCGTGTTTGTGTTAACAAGAACAAAAACGGTTACTCTCGTCGACAATTGAAAATGTCGTGATTGTTTCATTATTTATTTTATAATAAACTCATTTTTATTATTTATGAATTAAATACAAAACGTGCATTTTGCTGAAATTTTAGATTAGATGATAACAGCAGTACTGCCACATCTTGCCCTTTTTAACTTATCATTAACAAAATTTTAAATAGTTAAATAATGAAAATTTATACATAATTAAATATAAAATAAAGTTAATATAATTCTTATTCTAGACAATAGCAATTAACAACATATTTCTTAAGTATACAATACAATTGAATTAAAAGTTTTATTTGGATACCCTAATAATTATTAATTTTACACACTCAACAGCATTAGAATTAATATCCAAGTCTAATAGTTGATTTTGGTTTGGCATTTATTTGTCTGGCAACTTGATTTACTTCTGCTGTTTTTTCCAATTCCATACAGTTTTTCTCGGCTACTTCAACAGATTGACAGAACGTTATCACTTTGTCTAACGGCATGTCCTCTCTGAGTAGTCTTTCAAGCGTATCACGACTTTGAATTCCCAATACTATTTGAGTTTTGAGTAACTTGTTTTCCAATACTCCAAAGTTACATGGTTTAATCATTTTTTTTAGACGCGTTAAGTACAATATTGTTACGTCGCTATTTAGGGGTTTAGCCTAAATGCCCGTCGACAGTATTCTAAGGGACCAACGGGGGATAGCTGGCTAGGCTATATCTACCTTAGGTACTGAAGTTTCCTATTTAATTTATATTCCCTTAGAGGAACTACCAAGGGTCGCACTACAATATATATATATAACACTTTAGGTTAACAACGATATAAATA